CGTAGGGGCCACACCTGGCCCTACCTGGCCAGGGCCCTCGATCTTAACACAAGGGTGAGTTCCAACTACAATCTTTATTATATTTATATTATTTAAAATAATACTCAGATCATCGATACCATCATATATATGAGAGAACTCTGAAGTGCAGGGATGAATGCATCAATATATATTTATTTTACATAAAGTCTCTGCACTAACAGCTGAAAGTTTGGGATAAATATATGAGGAGGCTGGCTGCGGGTTCCTAGAGGAGCCTGGGTGGACCCAGAGCCCAGGTGTGCCCGGGAGGACCCAGAGCCCAGGTGTGCCTGAGTGCACCCAGAGCCCAGGTGTGCCCAGATGTGCCTGGGTGGACCCAGAACACAGGTGTGCCCAGGTGGACTCAGAGCCAAGGTGTGCCCAGGTAAGCCAGGGTGGCCCCAGAACCCAGGTTTGCCCGGGTGGGCCCAGGTGGCCCCAGAGCCCAGGTGTGGCCAGGTGTGCCCAGGTGGACCCTAAGCCCAGATGGACCCAGCGCCCAGATGTGCCCGGGTGGACCCAGAGCACAATTGTGCCCAGGTAGACCCAGAGCCCAGGTGTGCCCAGGTGGACCCTGAGCCCAGGTGTGCCAAGTGGACCCTGAGCCCAGGTGTGTCTGGGGACATGGTGTGCCCAGGTGGACCCAGAGCCAAGGGGTGCCCATGTAAGCCCGGGAGGCCCCAGAGCCCAGGTGGACCCTGAGCCCAGAAGGAGCCAGTGCCCGGGTGGACCCAGAGCACAGTTGTGCCCAGGTGGACCCTGAGCCCAGGTGTGTCTGGGTGTGCCCAGGTGGACCCAGAGCCCAGGTGTGTCTGGGTGTGCCCAGGAGAGTCTGGGTGTGCTCAGGTGTGTCTGGGTGTGCCCAGGTGAGTCTGGGTGTGCTCAGGTGCGTCTGGGTGTGCCCAGGTGTGTCTGGGTGTGCCCAGGTGTGCCCAGGTGTGTCTGGGTGTGCCCAGGTGTGTCTGGGTGTGCTCAGGTGTGTCTGGGTGTGCTCAGGTGTGTCTGGGTGTGCTCAGGTGTGTCTGGGTGTGCTCAGGTGTGTCTGGGTGTGCCCAGGTGTGTCTGGGTGTGCCCAGGTGTGTCTGGGTGTGCCCAGGTGTGTCTGGGTGTGCTCAGGTGTGTCTGGGTGTGCCCAGGTGTGTCTGGGTGTACCCAGGTGTGTCTGGGTGTGCTCAGGTGTGTCTGGGTGTGCTCAGGTGTGTCTGGGTGTGCTCAGGTGTTTCTGGGTTTGCCCAGGTGTATCTTGGTGTGTCCAGGTGTGTCTCGGTGTGCCCAGGTATGTCTGGGTGTGCCCAGGTGGACCCAGAGCCCAGGTGTGCCCAGGTAGACCCTGAGCCCAGATGTGCCCAGGTGGACCCAGAGCCCAGGTGGACCCAGAGCCCAGGTGGACCCTGAGCCCAGGTGGACCCAGAGCCCAGGTGTGCCCAGGTGTGTCTGGGTGTACCCAGGTGGACCCAGAGCGCAGGTGTGCCCGGGTGGACCCAGAGCCCAGGTGGGCCCAGGTGTGTCTGGGTGTGCCCAGGTGGACCCAGAGCCCAGGTGTGTCTGGATGTGCCCAGGTGGACCCAGAGCCCAGGTGTGCCCGGGTGGACCCAGAGCCCAGGTGTGCCCGGGTGGACCCTGAGCCCAGGTAAGCCCAGGTGGACCCTGAGCCCAGGTGAGCCCAGGTGGACCCTGAGCCCAGGTGTGCCCGGGTGGACCCAGAGCCCAGGTGGACCCAGAGCCCAGGTGGACCCAGAGCCCAGGTGTGTCTGGATGTGCCCAGGTGGACCCAGAGCCCAGGTGTGCCCGGGTGGACCCAGAGCCCAGGTGTGCCCTGGTGGAACCTGAGCCCAGGTGTGCCCTGGTGGAACCTAAGCCCAGGTGTGTCCGGGTGGACCCTGAGCCCAGGTGTGTCCAGGTGTGTCTGGGTGTGCCCAGGTGGACCCAGAGCCCAGGTGTGCCCGGGTGGACCCAGAGCCCAGGTGTGCCCTGGTGGAACATGAGCCCGGGTGGACTCTGAGCCCAGGTGTGCCCAGGTGGACCCTAAGCCCAGGTGGACCCTGAGCCCAGGTGTGCCCGGGTGGACCCTGAGCCCAGGTGTGCCCAGGTGGACCAAGAGCCCAGGTGTGCCCAGGTGTGTCTGGGTGTGCCCAGGTGGACCCAGAGCCGAGGAGTGCCTAGGTGTGTCTGGGTGTGCCCAGGTGGACCCAGAGCCCAGGTGTGTCCAGGTGTGTCTGGGTGTGCCCAGGTGGACCCAGAGCCCAGGTGTGCCCGGGTGGACCCAGAGCCCAGGTGTGCCCGGGTGGACCCAGAGCCCAGGTGTGCCCGGGTGGACCCAGAGCCCAGGTGTGCCCGGGTAGACCCAGAGCCCAGGTGTGCCCGGGTGGACCCTGAGCCCAGGTGTGCCCCGCTGGACCTAGAGCCCAGGCATGCCAGGTGGACCCAGAGCCCAGGTGTGCCCAGTTGGACCCTGTGCCCAGGTGTGCTCAGGTGGACCCTGAGCCCAGGTATGCCCAGGTGAGCCCAGAGCCCCGGTGTGCCCAGGTGAGCCCAGAGAACAGGTGTGCCCAGGTGAACCCAGAGCCCAGGTGTACCCAAGTGGACCCAGAGCCCAGATGTGCCCAGGTGGACCCAGAGCCCAGGTGTGCCCAGGCGGACCCAGAGCCCAGGTGTGCCCAGGTGGACCCTGAGCCCAGGTGTACCCAGGTGGACCCTGAGCCCTGGTGTTCCCAGGTGGACCCAGATCCCAGGTGAGCCCAGAGCCCAGGTGTGCCCAGGTGAACCCAGAGCCCAGGTGTGCCCAGGTGGACCCAGAGCCCAAGTGTGCCCAGGTGGACCCAGAGCCCAGGTGTGCCCAGGTGGACCCTGAGCCCAGGTGGACCCTGAGCCCAGGTGGACCCAGAGACCAGGTGTGCCCAGTTGAACCCAGAGTCCAGGTGTGCCCAGTTGAACCCAGAGTCCAGGTGTGCCCAGGTGAACCCACAGCCCAGGTGTGCCCAGGTGAACCCACAGCCCAGGTGTGCCCAGGTGAACCCACAGCCCAGGTGTGCCCAGGTGAACCCACAGCCCAGGTGTGCCCAGGTGAACCCACAGCCCAGGTGTGCCCAGGTGAACCCACAGCCCAGGTGGATCCAGAGCCCAGGTGTGCCCAGGTGGACCCAGATCCCAGGTGTGCCCAGGTGGACCCTGAGCCCAGGTGTACCCAGGTAAACCCTGAGCCCAGGTGTACCCAGGTGGACCCTGAGCCCAGGAGTGCCCACATGTGCCCAGGTGGACCCAGAGCCCAGGTGTGCCCAGGTGAACCCAGAGCCCAGGTGAGCCCAGGTGGATCCAGAGCCCAGATGTGCCCAGGTGGACCCAGAGCCCAGGTGTGCCCAGGTGGACCCAGAGCCCAGGTGTGCCCAGGTGGACCCAGAGCCCAGGTGTGCCCAGGTGGACCCAGAGCCCAGGTGTGCCCAGGTGGACCCAGAGCCCAGGTGTGCCCAGCTGGACCCTGAGCCCAGGTGGACCCTGATCCCAGGTGGACCCTGATCCCAGGTGGGCCCAGAGCCCAGGTGGACCCCTGATCTCAGGTGGACCCAGAGCCCAGGTGTGATCAGGTGAGCCCAGGTGGACCCTTAGCCCAGATGTGCCCAGGTGGACCCAGAGCCCAGGTGTGACCAGGTGATCCCAGGTTCATCAAGAGCCCAGGTGGACCCTGAGCCCAGGTTTGACCAGGTGAGCCAAGCTGGACCCAGAGCCCAGGTTTGCCCAGTTAGATCCTGAGCGCAGTTGTGCCCAGGTGTGCCCAGCTGGTCCCTGAGCCCAGGTTTGTCTAGGTGTGCCCAGGTGGACCCAGAGCCCAGATGTGCTCAGGTGTGCCCAGCTGGACCCTGAGACCAGGTGGACCCAGAGCCCAGCTGTGCCCAGGTGTGTCCCCACCCTCAATCCCATCTAAACCTAAACAGACACTCTTCTTGTCTCCCCTCAAACACACCCTCCCTATCTTCATCCTGCGCGCACCCTTTCTATCTTCTCCCAGCCCACACCCTCCCTATCTTCTCCCAGCCCACACCCTCCCTATCTTCTCCCAGCCCACACCCTCCCTATCTTCCCCCTGCCCACACCCTCCCTTTCTTCCCACTGCCCACACCCTCCCTATCTTCTCCTTGCTCTCACCCTCCCTATTTTCTCCCTGCTCCCACCCTCTCTATCTTCTTCCAGCTCTCACCCTCCCTATCTTCTCCCAGCCTACACCTCCCTATCTTCCCCATGCCTACACCCTCCCTATCTTCCCAATGCCCACACCCTCCCTATCTTCTCCCAGCCCACACCTCCCTATCTTCCCCATGCCTACACCCTCCCTATCTTCCCCCTGCCTACACCCTCCCTATCTTCCCAATGCCCACACCCTCCCTATCTTCCCCCTGCCCCCACCCACCCTATCTTCCCCATGCGCACACCCTCCCTATCTTCCCCCTGCCCACGCCCTCCCTATCTTCCCCATGCCCACACCCTCCTTATCTTCCCCCTGCCCACACATATCTTCCCCTCACATATCTTCCCTCTGCCCACACCCTCCCTATCTTCCCCCTGCCCACACCCTCCCTATCTTCCCCCTGCCCACACCCTCCCTATCTTCCCCATGCCCACACCCTCCCTATCTTCTCCCTGCTCTCACCCTCCCTATCTTCCCCCTGCCCACACCCCCTACCCTCCCTATCTTCTCCCTGCTCTCACCCTCCCACCCCTCCATATCTTCCCCCTGCCCACACCCCTCCCTTCCCCTGCCCACATCTATCCCCCTGCCCACACCCTCCCTATCTTCCTCATGCCCACACCCTCTCTATCTTCTCCTTGCTCTCACCCTCCCTATCTTCTCCCTGCCCACACCCTATCTTCCCCCTGCCCACACCCTCCCTATCTTCTCCCTGCTCTCACCCTCCCTATCTTCTCTCTGCCCACACCCTCCCTATCTTCTCCTTGCTCTCACCCTCCCTATCTTCCTAGTGCCCACACCCTCCCTTTCTTCCCCCTGCCCACACCCTCCCTATCTTCCCCCTGCCCACACC